GACAGACAGACAGACAGACAGACAGACAGACAGACAGACAGACAGACAGACAGACAGACAGACAGACAGACAGACAGACAGACAGAGAAAGCATGTTGATTAGAACAGCAATAGTGTCGTGAGGTACTACTCATACTGGTAAATGGACGTAAAAGGATGCGGTTAGCGGTCAAAAATGAACAAGACCTCTTCGATCGAATTGCTGTGTTTAACATGATAACTACGGACTGTTCCATTGATGTTCTCCTGTGTGCTGCCGGGAATTGTTATGATATGTTTAAAATGAGATATACTGTGACATGTACCCTAATGACTTGGTCTGATGCTTCGCGCACTTCTATGACCCAAGGAGCTATACAGGATAGCTTTTGTCAAGCCGAAGGTCTCATCAGGCCTAGAAGGTTGAAGCGTTTAGGAAGGACGAAGTCTAGTCTCATGGTTCTATTGTTTCAAGGTTCGACTCGATTTAGCGTTTAAGGCGGTAAAAAATGATGAAGGAGTAATTAATCGAAGTAAATGGGTCTCGATTTCGCTTCATCCGCTGCCTCCCGGCTAGGTTCTTGTTGGAACTAAAGGCCTTGGTTGAGAACCCTAATCGTCCTCCTACTTAACGGTTGGACAACCTAGCAGTATCCGTCCCTCAAATCTTCATGCACATCCATTGCGAGTTTGGCAGCGAACAGTAGAGTTCGCTTCCCTGTGTTTCTCTAGACGGTAATGATGATGATGATGATGATGACGACGACGTGTCGGATGATGATGATGATTCGGATGATTCGGATGATGATGATTCGGAGGATGATGACGATTCGGATGATGATGATGATGATGATGATGACGATGATTCGAATGATTCGGATGAAATTCGAAAGCTACGAAATCGAATTATATGCACAATAGGACAGATTGTAGTCAATGTAACAATATTTTTTGTTTTGTTTCACCAACCGGTCGAATAAGAGCCGATTTTAGCAACGTTCAGACCATACATTGGAAGAAATTCGTGTAATCTACCTGAAAATGATTATTACGCAATATGGCCCATTTGTCACACTTGTCTACAGCAATAACATTGAGCTCCGTAGTACCCATTGTGTCTTCCTTCCGGAACAACGATTCATCGGATGACCCATTCTAAGCCGTCCGATGACATTGTGTTCATCATACCAATGTCAGCATTTTTCCTTTGTACCAACCGCGTATATTGCATCGGATAGTTCGTGCCACATACTGGCAAACCCATCTCGTATGCCAACCAATGGTGTAGTTATTTTGGTTACTATTCAGAACCACCGCCACCACCAACGCCACCATAACCTCACCGATATCGACAGAACTCTCATCACCACTGAGGGATGTTTTCATGCTAAAATATCCAAATTTGGTTACTTCCATCATTACAGACAAAAAAGAGATTAACGCCAGGCTATATCGGCTCGCATGATGGCTGGTCAGCTAAAGCTGTCCTCGTGCCCTAATGGTACAGTGTGCGTCTATTTTGCAAGCGGGGGTGGGTTAGCTGTATTGCCGCGACAAACACGTACTGATCGATACGTTTCGTACGACGAACTGTGCTGGACATATGAA